AAGACCAAATGAATGTTGTAGATGCTCCAGTGAAACATGTTGACAAATAATACTGCACTCTCGTGCATTGCATTTAAAAAAGAAACCCATTTGTACGAAATAAAAATAGATTTTGCATGCACTTTGTTTTTCACCTGTGAACTGAATACTGTAGGACAGTAATGTTTATGGCCCAGTATCTATGGGACAACCAAGCAGTTAAAGATGAACTTTAACTGGCCCACAACTAAAATGCTTGGGGGCAGCTGCGTAGATCAGGTAACTGATTAGAAACGGATACTGAAAAATTACTAAACTCCAGGAGGTCACAAAAAGATCAAAAGCAAAGCAATGTCTTTTTCCACTACAACTGAGCTCATTATAGAGTATAAGCATAGCCTTCCATAGCACTGTCTAGCAGAACAGGAACCATTCCCCCCCTTGGTTCATCTAGAGTAATGTAGGTTCGTAAGGAACAAGCTGCATCAATGTAAGTATCTAATGTTTTAGAATATCAGCCTCGTTTGCCTGAATACTACCATGCCTCATGGAGTTCTACTGGGTAATACTGCACAGTGCCAAAGAAATTTCTTTCCTTCTCCCTCACTGCTGCTCTCTCTTCTTCAGCAAAAGATAATTCACTTCCTAGACGTATTTTGTCTTCTTAACTGAAGGAAGCAGAGCTGGTCTGGAAGGTCCCATACCTTTCCACACTACTGGATGACAGGTCTTTTTTTCTAGAAATGGTCCAAATACTTCAACTCTGGAGAACTAGGCAGCCAGACATTGAAAATGAGCAGTCAAAATGCAGTGTTTCGCTCATGCCAGCAACAAGACAAGTTCTGGCTACCTGATCAAACCTCTGACATAGCTGGGGAGACCTCCATCCTAATTTTGTGGTTTCCTGTGAAAACATAGCATGGGTGAAGTGATAAGAACAAATTTAACAGGGAGTTTAGGGAAGGAAGCTGTCAGAAAAAAAACTTGACATCCACAAACTCCTGAACCCATAATGGGATATCTGCTTGACTGAAACAGTGAATTCCACTCAGGCCAGCACTGTGCACTAAGCACTCATTGAAGAGCGATGTTAGTGTACCTTGAACAGGGCAGATTGATGGTACTGGAAGAAAAACTGAGTTCATACAGCCAGAGAAGTACAGACTGTCATTGTTTAGGCAGGCAAGTATGAATGGGCATTCTTAATGCTTCCCTTCTGCTACGTTTGATGTCTTGCAATTTGATGTCCTGCACAAGTGATGACACCATATACAGCCTTTCTTGACAGCCAAATAAAAAATAACCAGTTCCCCACCCTGAAAGAGAAATCCCACAGGGAACTTAGGTGTGATAATAAAAGTGAGTAGCAGCAAACACTGTCTGAACTGTCAGCTTATAAACAATGCTCATGAAACCTTCATGGCCAGGATCAATAAAAGGAAAGGCCACCGCTCTTAAGAGCCAAGAGCCATTAGAAAAATAAAAAGCTTTCTGTCTCAGAGCGTTTATATCTAGATTTCACTTTCCACTCCATAGCCGACAGACTACAGAACAAGCAAGTTCACTTCTACTTCCAGTGCTGCAACAGTAAAACCAAGCCACAGATTGCCAGGTAAGGTGTTCCATGACCTTGAAATATATTCTGGAGAGCCACGTGACTACTTCGCATAAATGTCCAAGATCATTGAAATTTAGGGCTTAGATTTTCCTATCACAACAGCCAAATTCCTAATGCACATATATGCCTTTTCCATTTGAAAGGATTTCCCATGTTTCCAAACTTTTATGCAAATTAGATAACTGAGTGTACCCATCTCTATGATCTTTATGGAACTAGCTTTGTTTTTCCATAGTAGTAGAGCACACCACTCCAGTTTCATTGCTGCGAGCCATGACTAAAAAAGTAAAAATGATTCCTTAGCACAGCCATTTACCTGATAACCAAGTCTCAGGAGATTTTGCCTTTCTCCTGTTTTGTACTTACTTGGTTGAAAATTACTATCACCAGAGACTGCTCCCATATTTTTCATTAACTAGTCTTCTTCTCACCAATACAATCTTTGTAAAATTATTTCTGTTGAAGAAAAGTATATTTGTTCTAAATTCTGGACAGATGACTAAACGGCCACAATCCTTTTGTACTTAGGTAAATTAACCTATTTGTGCCTAGGAAAAATGATTTTTCAAGGTGAGATTAATCTAACTTCCCAAACACTGTGGAGATGCCTTTTGTTCAAGACATTGGGATACTGGATCTTTAATAGGGTTCTATGCACACGTCAGTTGGCTGAGAACACATGCTGATAGTCTTTAGCTCGTATAAATACTGAATTTTGCAAAGTGGAAGCCAGTTTAATGCCTCTGAGCACAACTTTTTGAACAGCCCCATCTCATCTAAGAAACAACACACTATTAAAAAAAAAATTACTTTTCGGACTTTGTCGTTTGCTTTTCCAAAATATCTCTAGTGAGGCTGAATGGGTCACCCATGCAAACTAATAGCTCACATCAAAAAGCAACTGTCATACTGAAGAGGAGATACTACGAATTGTAAGAGTTTAGAGCAAAAGCATCATCTGTGAAAGCTCTTACTTGCTAACAAAGAAGCTGTCTGACCTATTTGTGCTTAATAGTATTTCATGTCACTTTACGCCATTTTTCTTCTTTTCAAAATGGATCTTAACTCATCTACGTTACATCTATGGAAGCATGTCTGAGTCTGTGGCACAGCCCTTTACCGCTTACTTTGGCTGCTCATTATCCACGTAAGTTGATTATCTGAATCACATACTACTGTTTTGGAACCAAGAGACAAGGCAAGCCTTAAAAAAATAAAATAAACAATAGAAAGAGCAAGAAAGCAATAAATAATGATACTTCCATTAGAATTATGTAGGCAAATACCACAATAAATAAAGCTTTAGCAGTCTGGAAATACTTTAAGAAAAACTAACAATTACTTCGATCATTAAACAATAAAATAACTTGTCCTGGATGCTGTAAAACACTTTTTTTTTTTTTTTTTTTTTTTAAATGTGGCCATCGGAGTTGCTGTTGTTGTAATTTAGAGGTCAGCAAGTTCAAAAACACAACAGTGACATGAAATACCTCTGCCAACACTTGATTAAAATTACTGTTTTAAGTGACTTGCACCTGTGATATGTATTAGGATAATCTGGTTTTATTTGCCACAGATTCGGGAATCCTTCCTCTGTGGGGAAGGAGAGGTGACGGTTTGTAGTTTTAAATGCCAGGCCATAGAGGCAGCCACTGGACTACTTTTCAGGTCCAATATTCAGGCAAATTAACTCCAAATGTGCAACAAGCCAAAGCACAATAAGAAACATTTTTTCTCAATGTAAAAACACAAGGATCCAATAGAAAAGCAGACATAAGTTCTAAAATAAATTATCAGAAAGGATTTTCCTTAACTTTCAAATACAAAAATAATCCAAAACAATGTAAGTCTTTTTTAAAAAAGACATTTCTATATTCATAGTATCACTAATATTCATTAGAATAGATCAAAAAGAAGCTGGAGTGGGCCATTAGATGAGAATTCATCTACATGCATCAAGATAGTGCCTCATCTTCCCTCAACAACTTTGGAAGACTATTTTCTTCTGGCTTCTGATATAAAGCCCATTTCTGTCCATTTAGGCTCCTAGTCTGTCTTGAATTTTGGCTGAAAATCTTGCCTAAGCACACTAGAGGCACACATGCACATCATACAAGATGTCAGAACTTATTCCCTGCATCTCCCTACCTGCCTTGCATTCACTGACACAGCTAGACTACACCCTTTGAGAAAAATCTCAAAGATTTTTCTCTGAGAAAATCTGGAACATCTGAAAATCTGAAGAGCTTTAATTTAAACTCTTTTCCAGGAAATACATAAGTCTACCTAGTGTTCTCAAGTAAGCTAACAAATATGTTGCAATTTTGTTAGCATCTTTCTACTTTGCATACTTATTTTACACATTATCTAGAACACCCACTTAAAGACAAAGTTGTGAGTTACAAAGCCATTGGAAAATTCAGCCATACATTTTGCTTTAGAGGACTCTGCTCTGTCTTGGAAACCTCAGCTAAAGATCTTTTTCCCTTAGTCTGTTCCTGATACTGCTTAGCTCTACTGCACATCCATGTATGACATTTTCTGGTACAGTCTTAGAAATTGTACTTCCACATTACAACTTGCCTTCTGTACCAGTCTTTGGCTAGCTTATGTAAAAATGATCTTCTCCACAATGCAACAAAAATAGCAGTTACTTTACTTACATAATTATGGAGCTTTAAATATTACACAACTATTACAGAAAATCTCTATGCAAGGTTATCTGACCTGAGAACAAGTTTCCATGGAAGCAACATTAACCAGGAAAAGTTAAGAGACCTGTTATGTGAAGAGATTCTGCTTTCCTAATGGCAAGACAATTTTTATCACATCTCTATGAGAAAGTCTGGCCTAAGTCTGGCCTCTCCATTTTCTACTGACTTCCTTTCCTTCACTCAGGCTACACCTTTTTTACTCTGTCAGATGCAGAGAGGCCACTTTCGAACTCAGAGGTGCCAGGATCATTAACACAAATTCTCAGCCTGCTGTGATTATTCACCCTGTGAATGGCAGGTTCCTCCCATGCACTCATAAGACTTGTTACGATTGTTGTTTCATAAATTAACAACAAAACACCGTGTTTTGTCCATATGGGAATAAGCAAAAGAAACATCACTGTTGGATTTATTTTTTAACAGAAGCTTGAATAGATATGGGATCACACCTGTATCCAACAGGCTAAATTCAACACAGATATGCTCAACATATCAACCACACTGATTTCTGTAAGAACCCATGCTGATTTCTACAAGAATCAGAGCAGACTGTTTTCTTTCCATCTCAGATCTGTGCTATGAACACTTCAAGTAAATCTAACAGACAGAGATAAAACACTTATATCCCATAGTCACAAGTTTCATAGGATGCCCTTAGAATGCAAACGCTTTGGCTTATATCAACGTACTTCTGAAGAGTGAGGCTCAAGTTGTGGCTGGCTGACTTGATTTTGTTCTGGGCCTCTAAATGGGTCATGCTGTCAGTGTTGACTCCATCAATGGCTACCACAAGGTCCCCTTGGTTCATCTGTGACTGTGCTGCCTTGCTGCCAGGGGTGATCTGTTTGGGAAAAGAAAAAAAAAAATCATATCAGGATAAGTCATTCTGTACACAAAACCCTTATAGAGAACTCACCCAGAATTACAATGAGGAATAGATACAGCAATAAATACAGTAACAGATATGACACTAGCTGTATCTATTATGGTATGGGTGGAGCAACAAAATTTCTGGAAATTAAACAAACTCAGAGCTAACTCACATTACTGCAAAGGCCCAGGACAACATCTACTTGTCATTACTTCCATTTTGAGGGGTTAAGCCCAATCTAGTGGTTCCCTTACAACATACTATCGCCTCCTCAAGGGGATAATTATCACTGTTTGTATTGGAGTAGAATACAGAGACATTATTCAGAAGCGGAAAACTAATGAACCACTATCTACTGTATGATTTTATTGTATTTTTCCTCCTAAAAGCCATTTTTCCCAAATTAATTCATTATACTGAGTGTACAGAAAATAAACATGTGGGAGGGGTCTTGGACATGTTTTGCTTCTTTTATAGCGAGCTTTATAAGAAATCATTCTGCTTAACCTTACCCACAACTTACATACAACTATAGCTCCATTACCAAGACAGATTACTATATACCTGAGATGACCTGATCAACCTGTTGGACCTGACACTCCAAAGACAGACCGGCACTTTTAGAAATAAGAAGCTACAATGCTCCAACTACAAACCCAACTACTGACACAACAATTCAGAAATTCTGGTTGTTCACTATGGCGTTACATTTTGTTAGCTCCAGATGTCTTGTGAATTCCATCTTCTCCGAACGGACGGTATCCTGACCTCAATTTTACACAGCCCTCTCAGCTTGCATCTGGATAACATTGATACAGTACGGCTACTTATGAAACTTGACTCCATTATGGAACTCAAACAAAGACAGAAGAGCCTTCACATACCATCAACCAGACAAATTTTATTGAGCAGAGGTGTCCTCTGCTTTTAGCGCTCAGTACTTAAAGGGTACAGACATAAGCTACAGGTCTTTGCTCTTATTCTTAGGTACTCACTTCCTGACATTCCCCACTTCTAAGAAAGCTCAACAATAATCTAAAATACTACAACAAAGGCTGCAATCAAAAACTCTGTTCCTTCAGCATAGTGAACATAACAGAATGACGTGTCTGCTTATGAGCCAAAATTCCCCTGTCAATTCAGTCAGGCTGCAACTGTGAAGTTAAATTCCTAAGGAAACCAAAACCCAACAGAAATCCAAACACTC